GCAAGGGTTCAACCAACCACCAATGCTTCAGAGGAAATCCCTTCGTCCCACAAACAATAAACTGTGAACTCGCATCCAGGTATTCGAGTTCAATAGTTGATATGCGAAAAAACTCACTCGGGACCATGAAGAGCTGATAAAGCAGCAGCAGAGAACCGAGGAACCCAGGAACCCAGGAACCCTGATGGGTTGGAGTTTTTGAGTGCCGACCAACCGGCAAATACAGCTGTCGTTTGGTATATGGAAAAGAAGCGAACGAGCAGAGCGGGTTCGTTCACTGCCCGCAGAAATTGGAGCAATCTCAGCAAATCCAACGCACAGCTGCCCTGCGAGCAGGTTTGTGTGGCGGTACAGGTAGCCATTGTACACGGGTAGTCATTTGGGCGAGGAGTGCCTGTAATCCGAGACCCGAAACTCACTTCCACAGAAAACAAGCCGAGGATCTCCAGCCAGGATCGATTTCCCTGGCCATCTTCCGCTGCCGCATTTCCCACACACACCGCACTGCTCACTGCTCACTGCTCACCGCTCGTATTAGAACAAGCTGTTAAAAATTATGGGAAAGGAATCGAGCTAAGTGGCACATGTGCAAAGTGTCCAATTACCAAAGGATGTCAGGGAAATGCATCAGCTGCTCGGCGACAGGATATGCAGTTTAAGGGGCACAGGAAAAGGTGGCTATACTAATCATCTAAAAGAGAGCTATAAAGGATTTTAGAACTTCCATCAAGGCATTCCTATTTCATAAATTCGCTAGAATAGAGACATAACTTCTTTGATGGATATAAGCCCTATAAAATATAAGATAGCTGCGCCGGAAATCAATCACCAAATGGCTTGCCACATTTTTCCCAGTGGGATGCTGTGCGGCAGTTACCTTTACCTGGCTACAGAAGTGCCTGTCGCTCTGCCGCTGGCATCCCGCCCATTTTCCGCCCAGCGAAGTTCATCCCCTTTTAACCCAAAAAAAAAACACACACACACCCACACACGCGGCTACAGGCGCAGAGGGAAAACTTTGTCCGAAGGACGTTCCTTCGTTGCATGACTCATCCGCCGAGTTGCCCCAATATCGATTTTCATACGTTCCACACGCCCCCCCGCCCTGGCTGGGTTTTAGATATTTCTCAAAGATGGGAAAAATCCATACCTGAAACTTGAATTTCGCCTGGATTAGCTGGACGATATTGGGTCCGGAGCGGGGCTCGTAGATATTGATCGTCTGGTTGGTGTGGCAGCCGCAGATGAGGCAGGTGCGTTTCAGGTATTCCGAGGAGGCGGCGGGTGCGGCGAGGGCCGCCGATGGATTCGCCTGCTGCTGCTGATTGGCAGACATCCTGGCGATTTTTCCGCTGCCTCTGACGTCACCAAAGGTCGCACTAACTTCTGCCGATTTTCGCTTTTCGCACTCGTATTTGTGTTTCCTCGACTTTCTTTTTTCGGGGGGTGGCGCGAAAATGTGGCAAACAACAAATGCCAAGCGGCGGACGCGTGCGAGTACGAGAGCGAGCGAGAGAGGGGGCGAGCGAGAGCGGGACAGCGAGCTACGGAGCGGCACGTCCTTCGCGTTGCACGCACAAATTTCGAATGAGCCTTGCTTGTCCTCTTCACTTTCTGTGCACCACTTTCAAAATTGGTGCCTGCGCGCTGCCAGATCCGGCGAATGAGCTGCGAGAGCGTCGAGCGTTGTCGTATCGGTGGAAAAGGAAGGGTCAAGTGAGTAAGTTAAACACTTAATAAAAGTCATGCGAAATATCTTATATTTACTTATTATGTCGTAGTAAAAATATAAAACGAAATTTAGAAACATATTTTTATTTTTTCTCTTTTTTATTTTTCTTTTTTTTTATAGTGTTACTTCTTGGCGTGGCTTGGTTGGGATCAGATTATATACCATATACCATATTTCCTATGACCAACCGACGTGCTGCACTGAGAGAAAAGGCCAAGGTAAGGGTGACATAGTGAAACAATACAAAGAGGCAGCATATGTTCACACTTAGAGCGCCAAAAGGGATGTTGAGTGCTAGAATGACTAGTGCGAATTCTGGAACAGGAAATGGATAACAAAAGGCAGTGCCAGTAAAAATACGAAAGCGGAATTTCAACTGCTATCCTTTTTAGGAAAATAAATATTTGTAAAAATGCTTACTTTAATGCTCCGTTTATATTTAAGTAGGCTTAGCACAAACCTGATTTTGAAGTTTTATTGCCTTGCGAGGCGGATCGCTGAATTCATTCAGCGAACTGAGCCGCGAAAATCTCATGAATGAATCTCAAAGCCGCAGCAACTGTCTCCACATATTTTGACAACTTGACCTATCTGAACTTTCGACACTCAGGCTTAAGACGAGTGGTGGTCCAGCCCTTTGGTTTTGCCCAAGCCCCCCAAAAGGAATCGGTGGCAGCTGCCATTGAGCGACAAACGCCGAATTTAATGTGGACGGCTTCCTCGACGGGCACTTATCATTATGTTGGACCCACCGGCTCAACACAGAGCCCGTATCATCCGCAGCACGAATAGCTTGCAGCTTGCAGCATGTGTGCATTGTGGGCTCATCAACAGGCTGCCGAGCGCAGTGTCTGGTGCCCCCAACACGCCGATCCTCCAAGACTCCGTCGAAGCACCGACGGCAGCTGCTCCAAAACACAAAAGGTGCGTTTCGGTTCCTCGTTTTTTACCCATTTTCATTCGGCACTCGGGCTGCTCAATCATATGTTCCCTGTGTTGTAGTTGTGGCTCATTTTGAGCCGGTGTTGCAGCTTGCAACCGGATTTGTTCGTGGCGACAGATGTTTCTTCTCCTTTTCTCCTTCGTCCGAACCTTCTTCCTCCGCTCCTCCGACTTGCGACGATCCTCTCAGATCGCAGGCACTGGGTTAACTGGCGCTGCCCGCCGCTACTTTTACTACGCTTCTCCGTCGATAGTAAACAATGGAGTAGGGAGTGTGGAGTAGCGAGTTTGGGGTAAGGAGGATCCAAGGCAATCGAAGCCCCCGATGAATGAACATGTGAATGGGACCCTGCGAGGGAGTTGCGTGGCGAACGAGTAATGTATCCCGGAACTGGACCCTCGATCGATCGATTTCCGCGACATATGCGTATCAAATTTTTATGCATGCACATCTCTGAGATCCCAGAAGAGGAAGTGCCCAAGGTGCCTGCATGAGATATCGAGGATAAGAAAGGGATAACGAAGGTTTTTAGAGATTTATGGTTAGGCATTTAAATACTTGTTATCCAGATCTTCATTGTGATCTTATCATACTCTTTAAACAATTTGTTTGAAGGGAATTAAAGTACAAGTGTGTCATATTATTTTGTAATCCACTGCTCTCCTTTGTTTGTTGACTACTCAATTGAACACTAAGATATATAAATTACACGATGCAAAAATATAATTTAACGTCCAAAAACAATTATTACGTTGCTGACTGTTTATGGTACCAAATAGTTTTTGTCTTGTTTGCAAGTTTAAGTTGTATGCAATTTGATTTTAAAAGAAAATATATTTACTTTGCATGTGCCGTTGCCCTTGAGTGTCACACTAGCGACACCTACCCAATCAAATCAGTAGTCTCCAGCTAGCAGCTTTCAAAAATTACCGTAGGTGGCGCCCATGATTCAAAGCAAGGCGAATCAATGCGGCGAAAAACTTATTCAATCTGTGTAGCATACTTTTCGTCAGTGATTGAATTTTCTTTGTTAGCCTTCAACGTGAATTCTAAAAATGTTCTTGTTTATATAGAAAAAATAAGACACAACTAAAAAATGCTGTTAAAGCTTTTTTTAATTGGTTTGTTTTTGAAATTCTAAGATACGTTTTTCATCAATAATTATTAAAGTTCAAGTCAAAAGAACATAACAAGAAATCTTAAAATTATTGAATATTATAAACTGAATGTTAATAAATTATACTGTCAATGGCTTTATTTTGAAAATTGTAACGCTTGGCTGTCATTGGGTTTTAAAAATGGGAAGATAAGAATTTTTCCAGTCTATCACCGATTCCTTACTTCAGGGATTTTTTGTGACTAGATAAGTATCACTGAGTTATGATAACTAATACATACTTAAAACAAGCAAAGTACCAAAAAATATATAAATAAATAACATAAGTAGAACAATTTTGATATCTTGCTGAAATAGAATAAAATGCATTCTCTAATTCATACTGAATATATATTTAGTTCACAGTAGGCTAAACTTTCTTTGTCTTAAACACAACTGAAAATCGTTCTTTAATTCATCCCATAGAAATGGTGGCTCTTGATGAGTCTCACCACATCATCTTTCGTGTCCCAAGCGTGTGGTACTCCTGAAATATGGATGAGTGGATGGCTCAACAAAAGACCCATTGCCGATGTCGTCACCCGCTGCCAAAGCACGGGATCCTCAGCTTCTGGACACGATTCTCACGGTGCACCAAGGAGCTGGGAGGTGTGCGTTGGTTATCCCGCTGCTGAGAAACCAAGTGGAAACTGCAATTCGCAGGGCACCTTGGGAGAATCGAAATCGCCTCGAGTTCGCGCGCCCCTTTTAATGGACCCCCCATACGCACGTGCGAAAAATAAAATAATTGACTTGACTTTATAATTGCAACAGGCGAGCGAGGAGGGCAACAAAATAGAGGAATCTATCACACTGTGAGCAGTCGGCATGGGTTCCCTGGCTGCCTGGCTGCTGGGCTACCGGGTTCCCTGGCTCTTCAAAAGGCACCCAGAAACGCTCGTGATTGGTGCCGGCCCGGATTCTCTAGGGGATGGAAGCGAAGCAACCCCCGGGGGAATAAGTTCAGCACTGATAGATGGTTCACTGCTCGGATGGCTGGGAGTTCTTGGGTGACTGTGTTCTACCACCTCAACCACCTCATACTGGTCCTCTGCGATTCTGAGTGCTCTCTCCCAATCTCTGTCGCTCTTTCATTGCACGCGACTGCGCTGTGGCCATACCATTTTGTTTTAAGAGCTTCTGTTTTGATGCCAACTTTTTTTGGGCCAGCATTCAGTCAGTTGCCGACGCTCAAGGCACAAGGACATTCGCTGCGCTTGCCAGGACTCGCTGGCTGAGATAGTAAAACCAAAACAAATCGCTTTGGCGCGAAACGGTAGCCGCAAGGCGAAGGCAGCCCCCACAAGCCAAATCAAATCATATCGAATTATATCGAATCATATCGAATCAAACTAAAGCAGAAACGGAAACGGAAACAGTGATTTAAACAGTGATTATAGCCAACGTGGCCATGTCCCGACGCAAACAGGCCAAGCCGCGCGCCTGTCTCAAACGTAAGTTGGGCGCCAGTGGTCAGTGGCAGGACTCGAATCCCCAGGTGGCCACCAACTGACATGGTCTCCATTTCCATATCCTGAGTGTGTTCCTGCATGTCCCTCCGCTTACGTGTGTACTCCGTGTGTTTGTGTGTGCGCTTGTGTGTTTGCGAGCGTGTGTGCGTGCATCTGATTGATTTGCTTTGATAAACCCCAAAAGGGGGTGGACACAACATTACTCTGCCAAACTTTGCTCGCGGGACCGCAAAATGTGACAAATGCAAATGGCCTCGGCCTGCGTTGGCCCACCATCCGGTCCGGTTTGGCTATTGCCCATTCCCCTGCCCTCCAGTTCGGCGCTTCCAGCTCTCGACTGCCGACTCTCGGCCAGAGCACACCATGCCCTACCGTCCCAATCCCATTTCCATTCCCATTCCCATTCCGTGCCCAAACCGGCTGCAGCCCAGCAGCTTGCAGGCATTGGCCAATCCCCAGGGATCAACACACCTAACTGTCAGTGATAGAGAGCGACCAAATGGGGGGCACACTGGATGAGGGAGCCCTGGTGGGGACCTGGTTGTTCGGACGGGCGGGGGGCGGATGGGGCGGGGCGGGGACGAGGGCAGGTGCTCTGGGGGCCAGGAGACCCCCGAAACCCAAACAAACCCCCCAGCATGAGGTTGAAACATTGAGTGTTCTGGTGAACCAACAAGTAAATGGTTAACAAAACCTGCTCCACGGCGAATGGGGGATACGCTTCCTTCTCACATTTTCAGAAAATATTCTGGTTACTGCAAATATTACTAAGGGTTCAATTTAACCAATTTTACTTTATGTACTACATTGGTAATACAAGATTTTTAAGTACGATTATTTCGGTACCCTTTAAATTTTCATCCTAATCTCTGGATTTTATTTAATGAGCTACAGATTGCTATGATTTAAGTTAAGCTAAAGTGTTGCAACTTTGGTGATAAGCTAACATTTACCCTGCTAAATTGGTAAGTCACATAAATTTGATAACATTTTTGGCAGTACATCATTAAGGGTTAGGCATAGATTTCGGTCCAAGGACAACATTTTGAAGGGCATAAAAGGCGGCTTGGCCAAAACGCAGCACTGCCGTTTGGATATTTTTGTGATCTGGCTGGGACTGCGGTGCAGTTTTCCGATTCGGTTCCATTTTCCGTTCTGCGGCCGGGCCAAGCCAAGGCAACCGAAGTGCCGTTAATTTTTAATACAATTTCAAATTGTGTCAGTGTAAATAACAGCAGAGCAGCAGCGCCAGCAACAACAATGATAACAAATAAAATTGACAATAAATCCAATGCACACATGTGCATGTGGAGGTGGAGGTGGAGTTGGGGGTGGCGGTGGGTGGTTTGTGGGTGGCCAGCTGAGGGCATCTGAGGCCCCCAAGGACAACTGGCGCACACACAAACTAACTCACACACACACACAGATTGGGTGGCAGAGAGAGGGAGAGAGAGAGAGGGGAGAGAGACAGAGAGAGATATCCTCATGCTGGGGCATGAAAATTTCCCCAACGTATAAAAAAGCGAACTTTGGCTTGCTCTTTTTGCAGCCTTCTCTGTCGCACCAATGCGCTCGGCGAGGGGCGCGCGAAAAAAGCACAAAACACAGAAAACCCATTGCCATGTATTTCTCAGGGGAGTCGGCAACGGCTCTCTGGCCAATCCCCTCGAGAAAAGCGCTGGGCAACGAGGCAGCAGCAACAACAGCAACAGCAGCAACAACAGCAACATCCAGCGGCAGCAACAGCAACAAACATGCGCCAACTCCCTGGGGAGTTTTCATTTGTTGACGGCGTTGCCAGCCAGTTTGCCTGTATGTATGTATGTACACATCTCTAGGTATATCCCCCGATTTATGTGCTCATACATACATATATGCCGAACATATAGGTTGAAGCTCAGCTATTTTCATTGACAACCCACAACAACAAAGCCACACCATCTACTGCAAAAAATATGAGCCAACAATGCGAAAAGAAACATTCCGCAAACTTATTGAACACCTATCATAAATATAGATTGACTCAAGTTTTGGTAACACAGCTATAAAGTTGATTATATAGTATATTTTTAGAAAGAAAAGTTATTCGCCTTTCTGAAACCGATTTTAATTTGTTTCTAGTGTTCAGATCGCTTTTAAAGGACAAATAGTTAGAGGTTTTGGATTTTAGAAATGATTGTACGTTCATCACCGTTTATTTTCCGGCTTTGTGACCCCCGATTGATTAACCAAAAGGACCGATTCCCGATTAACCTCCCAGCCAGCAGCGAAACAGAGTGGTATGCATATTTTTAGCAGGCACTGTCTGCCGTAAAATGCTTTAAAATGCCGGCTTCTCCCGGGGAATTCCCATGGCTAGGCGAAAGGCTTAGGATTCCAGCTGCCATAAGTTGTCGTTGCCTTCTGGCCCCTTTCGCCACTCGCCACCCGTTCCCAGTCATCCAGTGCGCCCAGCGAAAACCCAGCCCATCCCTTTCCATACCGCTGGCCCACCAGTTTCACCTCATCGTCAACGTGAGCGCGAGTCCTTGGTGTATTGGCAAAATATTTGCCATTGCACGGCAAAATCGCGCGCCAAAAATAGCAGCAGCATCAGCAGCAGCAGCAACAACAGCGGAATAAGGATCTCAGGATCCAGGAGCTGTAGTGGGAATCCGCTGTGGGCATAGGCTACCATGTGCAATGGCTTCTGCTTGTGCTTGTGCTTGTGCTTCTGCTCCAGCACATAATGTGGGATATTGGCTGCGTCTAATGGTAACTAGTTTGGTAAATAGAATTTGCTGTGGGCCATGCCAATGAGTGGGTGGCGGGTGGCGGGTGGCTGGGTGGTGTGAGCTGGGGCAACAGGGTCGTGGGGCGTCTTGGGGATTCGCCGGAAGGCAAAAACACTGCAAACGACATTAGCAACGGCAGTGGTGGTGATGGTGGCATTTTGACAGCTCTGTGGATTCCGCGCCACTCACACTCACACATGAGCGGCAGTTGTTTAGTTTTGGCTTGAGCATTTTTGTTCGGGGAGCTCAAGTGGCGGCAGTAAAAACTAGCAAAGCAAAGGAGGTGATTTCTAAATAAATTATCGGGCTGTAATTAAGGATGAGGCTTAGTTAATCAGAACCATCATCAAAAGGGAAGCCAGGGAAGTCATTTAAATTTAGGACTACAAAAGTTTTAAAACTATCTATTATAAATAAAAATATATTATAAATCACAACGCATAAAGTAATTTATCTGCGTATTCAAAATTCAGTTTTGCTTCATTGAAAAGTATCTAGAAAAAAACTTTGTTGATTTCACATAATAAACAATTAAACAATTAAATTTATGAGGGAGTGGTAAATTCATCTAATTATGTGGTATGGACAGCTGAAAAACCTTTCCAGCCATGTAATCAAATGGCTTAAAAAGGGTGTAATGAATGAGCCAATATCTGCAGTACAACTTTTTGCTTAAGCTGACCACCTTTAGTGGTTATATGAACTGTTTTTCGCCAATGGCGAACGATCTCTTTGGCCATGTTTTCTCGGGTGGCAGCTTCTGACATTTATCTCTTGTTCCAGCAACTATTGATAAAATTTATTGTTGGCGCTTTTAACAACACCTTCGGGTTTGTTATTTCATTATTTTTTTAATACCACACACTCACACACACTCACGGATACACACTCCGGTTCGAGCCATTATAAAAGTTGCAAGCGCGCTTTGTTTTGGCCAACCACCCCGCCCATCGCCGCCCATCGCCACCCAACCCAATCCACGCCCACCACCCCCCGAATGCCTCCCCAGCTGCTCAGTGGTGCCCTCTACACACGCTTAGTAGCCGTTTGGGAGCTGGAAAAGTGGCAAGCGTTGGGGTATTTGGCGGGAAAAGGGGAAATTCCAATGCGGAATGGGGCGGCGATGGCAGTGGCAACGGATTGATGGGTCAAAGGGGACGACGCTTATTATTACGTTTACAAATAAGTGTCTGTGCATGAGTGTGCATGTGTGTGTTCCGGTGTCTCTGTGTGAGTGTGCACCTTTTTGTTGGTGGTGGTGGGGGCGTGGATGTTTGAGTAAAACGCTTAAAAACATGCCATTGCCGAAAAACAAGTAAGAAACACTCACACATGCGGGCACTTGTGCCCCACACTCACTCACACACACACACCACTCCTCTGCCCCAAACACACACAAGGAGAAGAGGATGAGGGGGAGGGATGGCAACCCAGCGACCGAGTGCGAAATGCACTCTGGGGGGCTTTAAACAAAAATGAAAATCGCTTGCATACATATGGGCGCTTACACACACACAGCAGCGTGTTCAACGCACACAGATACGTGCACGACGAGAAATATTTTTCCGAAATCCTAAGTTCATATGAATAACATTTTAGGATTACTCCAATATTGTTAATATAATTATAATAAAAATTATTAAATTTTCTAATAATTGAAACAGACCTGCAATTTATTTATAAAATTGCATCACACTTAATTATCTATCTATATATGTATATGTGTATAATTTAGTAAAGATTTAATTCTGAATATCTTAAAAACCATTACATGATTTTATAACCACTTAGTTTTTTTGGAACCACCTAATTTATTTGTATAACCACTTAATTGTATTTGTATGACCACTTAATTTATTTGTACAACACTAACGATTTGCAGCTTCAGCTGCAAAAATATTTGATTAATTTCGTTCAGTGTACCTATATCCTCTTTGGCTTGCACAAAAAGAACTTGACTTGCTGCTTGTGTTGTTGCTGCTGCTGTTGTTGTTGCGGTGCTTCGACAATTTTAACGACCATAACTGGTTCTCACCCCGTTCGCCCTGATATTTCCCCCACCCTGCACCCCTTCCCCCGGCAGCCACCACGCGCATTTATTTTAAAATACGCGGCACTTCCGCCGCAAACGGCACACAGTTGCCCCACATCCACATCCACCGCCCACCCCCTTCCATTCAGCACCCAAACCCACCGCATCGCCTCGCCTCCAAGTGGCTGCAACATTCGGCTTCTTTATATGGAAATAATAACCAAATGTTCTTGCGCCGCCCATCGCCCATCGCCGGGCTCCCTTTCGAAGCCCCACGCCCATCATGGTGACCATACCCATGCATAATGTTCATTTCCATGGCGATTCCTTGCGGTGTGATTCCGGCATGTCCTTTCGGCCATATATTTTAAGTCCTTACCTTCCTCGCGGTCACCAATACGAAATGGTCACGCGCAGCCTTCAGACTCCAGTCCTCCAGCGCAGAAATACCTCTTCCTTTTCAAGATTAAAATGGAAAGGCAGTCGGGTGTCCTTGCCTACTATTTTTTGGTCATTTTGGTCACAAGATGTTAATATTTTTATGGTATTTTCAGACACATTCAAAATAATGCATAATACCGAAATTAAATTTCTTAAATTCCAAACAATTATACTATTTATAGCTGTTGAAAAGTAATAATCAAGGGTTTGGATAAGTAAGCTGCCTTCCAAATTTTTTAAAACTCAGCAGGCTGAACCTTTTCCCAAACCAAGCGCATAAATGGTTTCCTCACCTGTGGCTGGCCCATAATCCGAGGGAATCCCTCCAACAGCAGGACATCCGTCTTGCCCACTCCTGGCCATCGCATCACTGGCAACTGGAGAAATGTATGAAAAATTCAATTTAATTGCGCAATTACACATGTTACACATTTCCATTTTCCGGAGTTGTTCTTTTGGCCGAACCAGCTTCCGTTTCCGTTGTTGCACCCTTGCAATTACTTTTGAGGCGGAGAGCACTCGGTTTATGGCTTTCTTTGTGTGTGTGTGGGGAGGGGGGTGGATACAACGACACCCACAAGGCAGCCGGGCAGAGGCCATCGATCAGGTGGCGGCTTTGCCGGAATAGCCATCCAAGGAGTCTGAGTTTTGAGCTATTGGCACGGCAAGGTGGGGGGCACAATAAAACACGGAGCGTGTAAATAGAATTTTTGGCCCGATGGCCGCCCGGGGAGTGCTTTGGCATAATCTGCATGAGCCGGTGGCATAGCACCCGATGTCTGAGCCCACATCCGACTCACAGCAATTTGTGCGAGTGTTCGAAGTGTTATCAATTGATTAGCTTTCATTTATATGAGCATTGCGGCGATAATTTGTTCTCAATTTCATTCAATATAGCAATCGAAAGTCTGATCAACGGGCACTTACACCAATACTTTGGCTACTACTTTTTAACTTTTAACTTGCTTTTAATACTTTTTAACTAGCCAAATTATACTTCATTGCATGACTGAAGACCCACATGGAAATTGCTGAGGGAACTGAGCTGAGGACACTTCATTATTGGGCACATTTTTCTTATAATATACATGTACGCATTCTTTGCAGTTGGCGAGAAGGAGGATGAGGAGAACACCGGACTGCTGGAGCCCAAGGAGGAGCTGCTCAGTGGCGACGAGGACAACGAGGATAATGAGGACGAGGACGAGGAGCTGCCCGATGAGGTGGAGGCGCCCGAGGGAAGAGGGGGTGCCGAGCGGCCCCAGCTCGAGCCCAATGAATCACAGCAACAAAGCTGGCCAACAGCTGATGAGCCAGCGGTCCCAGCTGCAGTGGCAAAAGAAGAAGGAGCAGAGGAGGAGCAGGAGGAGAGATCAGAAGAACTACAACACCCACGGGATGAGGTAGTTGCATCTGATGCTGCTGCCAATGCCAACGGACACTGCAAGTCCTCTGGTAAGTTTGACTTCAATTTGCATATTTTATTGCCTCTAGCCGAAAGATATATCCATGTATATCTGCTGTACGTATGTATGTATGTATGTTGGTATACACACGGCTATGGCACACGTATGTAAACTAACCAGCATCCACTGGCATTGCCTCAAGTCCATCGCCGTCGTCTTGGGCTTCCCCTGGGTCGTTCACATGTCCGGCTAATAACTCTCGACAGTCTCATAAATAGCAAATGTAAGGTTTTTGCTCTTGCACGTTGTTGTGGTCGGAGTTGAACCATCTTAGGCCCACATCCGCATCTTCTGGCTTCCCCTGGTCACTGGGCACTGGGCACTGGTCACTGGCAACTGGCCACTGGACACGTGAGTCCAGTTGCCCCTCAGGTTTTGGTCTATTTTGGTGCCTTTACAATGACGGTTTAAAAGTGTGGAATGCTCCTGGAAATTGGATAAGGTTAATCACATTGAAGGCCTCTTACAGGGTGCTATATTTTGGAATAATTGGAATGTAATAAACACCATTAGCTACCTTTAAATGTTAAACAAATACAAATTATAAATTAAACTCAAGGAACACATGATTTGGAAATGTAGTGTTGTTAACATTGCCGCTGAAAAGTAGGCAACACATTTCCATACATATTGGTTCAACAGCACACACACCCTGTATATGTGGGCTATCCCCATTGGAGCCGCTGCCTGGTCACATCAACTTTGATGTCTCCATGAGGCCCCATACATACATCCGTATCGCAATATGCAGCTGTGTGCGTATGCCCCATGTACGAGTATTCGGTATTCCTGTGCGTCATTGGATTATGGCACTTGGGTGTAAAGCCATCGATTCCAATGACCAAAGCGCTGGCTGGCTGGCCGTTATGGCCGCTGCTGTCTGACAATAATAAAACAAGCTCCATGTTTTAAATGGAACGTAAACACACATGCCAGTGTATGGGTAGTACCCACACACCCATAAGCAGTAACACACACACACACACAACGAAACGTGTCGGTTCATTATTTGTTGCTCTTTTCTGGTTTTCTGTGTGTTTCTGGCCAGGCCGGGCGGCGAATTCCCGCGAGTCAAGACGACGGCATGGAGAACATCATCATCAACTAGAACCTAGTCGGGCGCCCAGTGCCAGCGTCCCCTATACAGGCGTACATCGCTAAATCGAACTATAACTTCTTAATAACTTAATATATCAAATGAAGTTTCAAAAATATAGTAGGCTACAAATTCACTTACAAAGCTGTATAAAAGTATGCTATATTCTTTTTTTCGGCACAAAACTTCAAAAGTTAGGATCCTAATCTGAAGTAACAGAGAGCCAATTTGATCGCGTTCCACTTAATTAAGTTGCACTGTATTTGGCGTGCGGATGCGATTCGGAAGGTCTGGGTGCCCTGGATTGTAGTTGCCGGCTACCTGGGAGCAGGAGCACCAGCCCCCAGTATGTGTGTGTGTGTGCCCGGTTTTGGTGTGTGTGAGGCTTTAACCTCACTGCGAACTCTTCGGGACTAACGGCACTACGGAGGACCAAACTTTATCACCAGAGCGCGCCTCCTGCACTCGCCATCCCTTTTGCTCGCACGCGCATATTATATGACAAGTACACGCTGCTGCACTGCGTCCGTTTACTGCTGCTGTTGCTGCTGCTTTTGGAGCTGCTGGAGCTCGTGGAGCTTGTGGAGCTGCGCTCGTCCTGCGAGGCCCTCTGGTGGGTTGTATAATGTTCTAAGGGGAAATCGAGAGGCCGTGATAAGTTTGGGGATCCGAAAATTGTCTTTCTGCTCCGTGCTGCTACCGCCGCACTTGTGCGCCCGCTGTTGCTGCTCCTGCGACGCTGGTTGCCAACGAGAAACCCGGCGAGAATGAATTGGCCCTTTTGTGCGCATCACCAGCACCACGGTGGCCCAACTTGAGGGCACTCCAAACAGTGGGGCCAGCGTCTGGGAAAGTAGGTTAATGATTGAGGATAATACATACACACTACAGCATCAACTCCTGGCTTAGGATTACCATTCCAATATTAGTGCTCTCAGTCAATAGGTCTTGGTACCATTTTCGGTGACAAAAGTCCTTGTAGACATTGTGATTGTGGTTAACTTCTTATTCCAATCACTCCCTTGAAATCGTGTATCATATAATTTATCTTTCACCTAAACAACTACTTTCCGAGATACACACACACCACTGTGCGCCCGCCAAGCTCACACCTTTGCACTCACACCCACACACTCAGCCATTTAAACACATGTGTGTCGTCTATAAAGTTCCCTTCCTCGTTCACTCGCCCGATTCTAATATGAATTCTGCTGCTTATAGATTATATTTGTGTAAAGTTTTATGTTGCAATATTTTCGGCTGACGTCGGTGGAGAGGGGAGGATGTGGGCGATGGTGGGAGGAGCTTCCTTCACGAGAAGATGCCTCGACGACGACATTTCCGTGGGGAGCAACCTTGGTGCGAATAAAAATTATACATTGCCATATAAGCGGGCGAGACGAAGTACAGTAGACAACAAAGAGTGGGGACGCCTGCTCCCCGAAGGATCCAAGGTGTCTCCGTCCCTCTTCCACTCGTGTGTGTGTGTGTGTGTATGTTTCTAACTTTTGCCAGCGTGTTTATTGGTATGTTCATTGGGGAACATCTTGAGACCGAAGGAGAAAGCGGGCGACAGCTTCTTGTTGCATAGCGAAGTTGCTCATTTTGCCATTATTATTCCACTGTGTATTGAAAAATGAAACAAAAGTGAATTATCGTCTTTGTCGCCTTGACTCTTTCACCCGCCTCCTGCTGCATATTCTTAATTCCTACTCCCATTTACTAAAATGTCGCCAGGTGTGAAGATAAATATAATTATTATCGCAGCTTCAGTATTATAAAGTGCATAGTACATAGTAATTCCAAAGATATTGAATAGTATGTGTTAGCTTAAATCATAACCTACATTTCAAAGAGTCGTGAAAGATTTTCAAAAATAAGACGAGAGAACGCGTTACATTCGCTGACAATCCCTAATATGCCCCACGTTGCTTTGATTGTAAATGTAAAACAGGGATGACTGTACCTTTAATCGATTGCGGTGGGCGATCGATAAATATACAAATTGCAGCCATGGAAATGGTGATGACGATGACCATGACCAATTCGGGCCAATTCCCCGTGCATACATAATTCATTTATCACTTCATAATTGCATCAGAGACATATCCGAGTCCCACTTTCCCGTAGGCACTTCACCCTGCCCCACTACGCCCCTGACCACAGAGCCACACGTCCCTCCCCGCCCACCGTAACTTCGGTTCGATCACATGCACGTTGACGGTTGCCTTTATTATTTCGCCTTTTTTGCAATAATTTTCAAACAGAAACACACAAAAAGCATTTGCGCAACAATTCCCTAAGGATCTCCGGCGACGACGATGGCAACGAAGCCAAGGCAAAGGAGCGCTGGGTTTCACCAAGGCAAAGGGGGTGGCGGCGGCAGCTCGGGATTGGGGTCTGTGGAGTGGAGGGAGCAAACGAATCGAATTAAGAGCCACCACACGGTAGGTGGTCCCACTTCGCACTGGAGCTGAGCTGAGCTGTGCTGAGCTGAGCGGAGCGCCCGCTTCAGTCTTTTTCCCACGGGATTGGCGCAGTCCGAGTTGGACTCCCATCTCCCATTCTCCGCACTCCTTTCCCCTTTGTACCATTCTTTTGTCCCACCACGGCGATATTGTTGTTGTTGTTGTTGTTGACAGTGGTGGCGGGAGTTAGCCTGGGGGTAACCACACTCAAATAAATGCGATTCGGCTCCCAGAGTACCACAAATCACGAGTTGGGAATTATAAGCAGAAAATTGTAATTTGTAAGCTTCAATTGTCATTAATCAAAAATTGGAATTTAGGTATTTCTTTGGAAATTGTCTATATTCAAAAAAAAAGTTAAGTAAACAAATTAAGATATTTAAGAACTAAGTTAATAGTGCCCAAAATATAATATTCTGAAATTTTCTGTAAAAGTTTTATCTACCGAATGAAGGTCATAGCCCACATCAGCTGGTGATATCGTAGTACTATTTAAGCAACCCCCACCCTGGGGAAATCCCCAACTACGCCCCTGATAGGATAGTACTCTTCTGGACTTTGTCCGCTTATTTCGCTGCCGTTGTTGTTGTTCTCGTAGGCGGCGGCGCTTTGGGAAATCTGAGCGAGTGCAGCTTGCAGCGGCTCCCAAAGTGCCAGCATGCATGGTGTGGTTCTGTGTGTATGGGGGCGGAACAGAGTGGGTGGGCGTGGCCGAACAACTTCACAATAATCAGCAGCTGCACCACAAAGCCCCGAAAGTCGTAAAAATGGCCGCAAGATGGCGCTAGTCGGATATGCAAATTTCGTTCGATTTATGGTCGCCAACCGCACACACACACACACACACGCACACGTGTGGAGATATTCTGGCACACACACATGCACGCACACGGATAGCTGGTTCATTAACATGATTCGCGAAAGATGCGAGAGAGTCATAAAATTAGCCAGGCAACACCAGTCGATGGCTGACGATGGTGTTGGTGATGACGATGATGATGATGAATGCATTGCAGAACCTTCTCGCCTCTTCTCTCTTGGATCCCCAGCTGCCACGCCCCCTGCATCACCGCCCCTCCATTGGTGTAGTGTCGAAAAATTTGCAAAACTCAAAGCAACAATTCGACGAAAGCCAATTTTGCGTCAGGCGAAGTCGAAAAAGCAGAGCAGCGACCGGAGATGCATGTGGGCAGCAGAAGGCTGGGGGCGTGGCATATGACTCCCAACAGAGCGAATGTTGAATAATCATCAGGCATCATCAGAGAGACGGAGATACAGCGGGAAAAGGGAATGGGAGTCAAAGTCGTCGTCATTTCTGCATATGCACTCTGAAAAAAAGGTGCCAAATAATTATTCAGTAAGTAAGATGAGTAAAAATGTCGAAGATTCATCAAATACAAGACTTAGATACATCTTTGGAGTTATTGAATGGTCTGCCCAAAATAGGAATTCTTCAGCAACCCAGTATTATGAGAGCAGAATTTGTTTCTTGACTTACCACAATTTTCTCACAGTGCACCGTGCATCGGTTGCCGAGGAGAAATCAACCAGGCGCGAGATGCGTTTTTGGCATGTTAAAAACTTGTCCCGGGCTGTTGCTGGGTCCAGGGTCCGTCCGCCAGATGGAGCCAGTCAGCCCGCACGTGCAACTCACACAACATTACATACTCGTCCGAAAAATACACACATACGCACACACACACATGCAATCGCAGAGAGAAATTCGTAAAATTTTGTTTCCGCTGATGAAGTATTCCCCAGCTGCAGGACAAGGATTATTGGACGTGTGGCGGTCCAGCCCAGCTTCACTGGCAGCTTAGAGTCCTGCCAGCCTCCGCATTCGTCCTTTTCCGCTATCCTCTCACACATTCTGTGTGCTTTATGTGCTGGCATGCAAAGTGGCATAAAAGCAGATCCACAGCCACAGAGCCACATCATCGAAACGTCGCCGAAACGACGAGCCATCAAGGAAATTCTCAAGCGCTTAGAATGTTGCAGAACCCATACCCTCTCACTCACACCCTCCCACTACCTCCCACTATTTTTCTTTTTTTTTCTTGTTTGAGGTAGCAGCGCTACAGTGCCCGCGAAATTTCATTTTGTCATTAGAAACTAGTAAAAGCCGAATTCGCGAAAGTAGCTAGTGCTGTGAAAGCCTGATGGTCTATGGCTTGATGAGTTCATGTCGAAGGGTTTCACACCAGTTTGGGTTTTATGAGAACTGAGTAAGATTGGAATTTGTAGGTGGAGTGAAAAGTTCGAGATATCGCCTTTCCAAACGTTATTAACAACTTTGCTGTGAAGCATTATTATTTATCACATCCAACCCTTGAATTTATGCTAGCCTGGTTTCTATTCATACGCAACACTTGTGTGCCACAGTAACGCAACTTTATTTATTTTCCAATTAATGGCCTGACATTTCATCTATCCTTTTCATATTCACCAATACCCGATTCCCACTGTCCTCCAGGTAACGCAACCCCATTAGCATATCCCTGAGGATCAGCTTCTTGGCTTGCTTGCCAAGACCCAAGTCAGACACTCACTCACGTGAGCCACTGGGCACCCCACACTGCCCCACCAGGAGGCACGTCAAACGTTGCGTATGAGTAATGCCGACTTGTGTGGCACTGTAGACAAACTTTTCCCCCTGCCCCCATTTACACATCCTGCTGCCCAAGACTCGCAGCACGTGCTGCCAACAGCTGTTCCTTCGAAATGAGAGACCAAAACAAGCAGCTCTCTTGCGCAAAACTCTCTTTTGGGAACTCTTAAAAGGACATGCGCAGTTCGAAGCTGTACTCTTCCGTGCTCTTAACTTCTAGTGTTTGGGGGTATTGGGGGAAGGGAGCAGTAGTACATCGGGGCTTACTTGCCGGAGGGGGCATGGAATTATGGCACCCTGGGGCTTAGCATAATCAAAATTCCTTGCACTTGGGGATCCGGAAAGGGCATCCTGCTGCTCCTGCCCGTTGTGCCACCAAGCTATTTCCATCCAAGACGTCGAGGTCAAGTCCCAACTGCATTTGCCCCTTCGCAATCCAGGCTAAAATAAGCTTTTCCTTTTCACTGCAGGCCACGAAGAAGATGCGGTGGATGCGGATGAGCCGGAGGATCTAGAACTGGACGACGAGCTACTCAGTCTCAGCGGAGACGAGGACTACGACGATGAGGAGTTGCAGAGCCTGGACAGCTTTTACTCAGGTAAGCGTTAGGTGTTGTCACACAACCCGTGTGTATGTTGCCACATTTCTAGTCCCGACAATACACAGCATGCGTGCTGGAGCCATAACCATTGAAATTGGCGTTGGGGGTGTTATCCTGGCTGCCGGAGATGGCACTCCAGGGTGCTCTACACCTGTGCCGCGGGTGTCGTTTCCATATGCTGCGGTCCTGTGGCTGCCGGGCAGCCTAACTACGTTTTAAAAACCCCAAACAGCAATCAACACCAAGCTGAACTCGGGCCAGCATTCGGATTCAAGTTGGGACCAGAGCAGCTCCCACTCCCTCCCAGATCCCCCTTGTGCCATCACTTTCCCATATCCTGGCTGCCGTTTACGAGCTGTCGAAGAGACTGAGAGACAGACGGAGATGCCAGAAATGGAGACCCGGCAGCATCATGAGCTACGGCCACGACATGACCTCTCCGCCATCACCTCCCAGCCGAATGGTTGCCATCCAGCCATCCAGCCATCCAACCATCCTGTGGACCCTCTACCATTCCCTTACACTTGGCCACATTTCTCTCTAGTGCCATTCCGAATGCTTTTTCTGTGTTATTTGTTTCGTTTTGTGGCGACTGCTATTTTTTCACAACTTCCTTCTTGTGCTTTTTGCTCTTCCTGCCACGAACAACGTCCTTGCCGGCGGCAGCATTCTGAACGGGCTGCCCATTGCCGCCCCCTTTCATTCATTCATTCATTCATGCACACAACTCAGTCTTCACTTGACTTCACTACTCCGCAGCTAAACTTGCCCAGCTGCTTGTCTGTCTTATCCTTTCTCTACACTTTGAGAAAATATTACAAAGTAAATGGCACAGCGAAATAAATAGGTAAATATTCATAAAGGTAATTAAATCAAAGATTAAGTAAACTTGACTTACTGACGGTACATATGTTTTATGGTGTATATAATTTGTATAGTTTCCAATAACCCAAACTGTTAGAAAGTTCTCACAGTGCAAGCACAGCAAGCACTCAACACTTGGCCAGCGCATCCTTCCTGTGATCCGTGCCTCCTCTCGCTCTCCCCTTTAAGGACTCGAGGCACTTGGCACTTGTGGTTGGCTTACCACCTCAACCCATTTGGCAACTCCAAGGAAATCTCTCACTGGCTATTTGAGCACAATTTTGAAACGTTTTACGTTGTGTGTGCGAAGTGATTGCGGCTGCAAGCGAGAGGAAGGAGCCAAAGGATTCGGGGGCATCCTAAATGTATGCAATGAAATGCAATTAGTTGCAGTGGAACCCCCGCCCTGGCCCACAGAAATGGCACTCCTGCCACTTGCAGAAAAGAATACCTTAAGTTGGCAAAGTTTTTCGGTTCCAGTCACTTCATTTATTTGTCTTAGCCCGGCCCGAGACTTCCGCTTCGGAAGGACGGAAGGACGAAAGGACGCGCTGGGCTTAGGCTGTCCCTTTTGATTTATTAATTGCACGTGTAGTTCAAGATGAGACAGCGAAGACAATTTACCATGCTCGTATGCAAATAGTTTTAGAGCTTCCTTTTGATGCGACGCAATTAATTACACATTTGTCTTACAAGACAAACAGAGAGTTGGCCCCTTCCTCGCGTCTCGAGGCCATAAATAATTGCTCTGGTCAAAGGTTTTTGGGGCTTGGGATGGCAGTTGCCTTCGTGGGTCGAGTGGAGTCTTGGATATTGCTTAAAGTGGCGAATTCTCACAGCACTTGAACCGTTGCTTTCCCAAGAAGTCGTCTCATCATCAGCGCAAATTGCTTTACGCACCGCACTCGGAGATAGAAATCTGTGTTTGGGGAAAACTGGTTAGCCCGGCGAGATGACATCGCCACGGTTAATGAACCGCTTCTCCAGCTTGGTGTGTGGCACTCAAAAGGGCCAATTGACTACTACGGATCAATGCGATCATCACGTAGAGAACTCTCCGGCTCTTTAGGGCACACCGCCCTCCCGAAGATCCAGCCACCGTCGCGTAACTGGGTCACCGGGCTATCCTAAGTACAAATCTAATGCGTTTTAATTACAGCTCGGACCAGCAAAGTGTCCACAACTAAAGTTCCTTACACCGCCGACAAGTCATTAGAAAGTTTTCGCTGCCTTCCGCGGCTCTCAGGGGGAGGAGCCGCCTAAAAGGAGGCGGCGACATTCACACACTCTTCAAACCATTTTTGGCTTCAACAAATTGGTATCTTGCAGATACTTAACAACTGAGATGTGCTCGTTGTTCAGCGATCGAATGCGAACTATGTTTTCGATGGCATGCTTATAAAACACGATATGTAACATATATGGGAAGTAGGAGGTAATGATCCATAACGATTAGATTTAACAGCACTTTATGAGTATATACTGAGCACACTTTGTGAGTATATACGTTCATGTGCTTTAATCCATCCCACGAAATGCAGACACCCACTCACCTTAGGGTATAAGGATCTCGAAAACTTTAACCCAACTTGCCCGCCTGTCCGGACAAAGTAATCGCAATCTCAGGTGTAAAACCGCCCTGACACCGCAGCTAAACAAGCGGAAACAAGGCGAAAAAAGTTGGTCCTGCAACGCAGGACTGCAGTGTCAGTTGCAGGATCTGTTCTACCTGTAACCCACCATAGGCGCATTGGCCAGGACTCTTGGCAATTTTTTTCGCCAACTTTCGCCGGCTCCATCCTCATTGTTTTCGATCCCACGGGCCATGGCCAACTGGGTTTCTGGCTCCGAAGTTATGACACGCCCAAGTTGCTGCTGCTATTGCCACCTTGGATGATTTATGCGCCTTTGGTGGTTCGTCCGCCTTTCGCCAAGTTTTTTTTTTTATTTTTTGGACCCATTGCCGCGCGGTGCCGGCCGCACTGGAAAAGCAAACTTTCCGCGAAAGACGTTTTCATTTCCTTTTACGATGCAAAAATAAAAGCAGCCAGCGTCCGTGTATCGCATTTTTACCACCCACCCACTGGCATATAGCTCCTTGGTTTGCTCTCCTCTTTTTTTTTGGTAGCTCCCATGTGCATAGTTCTGGGTTGCTCCTCGTCCTTATGCGACTCCAAGGCGCAATTCCGCGTACGAAAATCCCAGGGGAACCCTTTCAGCTCTGACTTTCCGCCCTTTTCTCCATCTCCATCTCACACCCACACACACCACACTCATATACTCATGTATTTGGCTCGTCTCGCTTTTCGAGTATAAATTTGGGGTAATTTAAATGAAATACGCGTTGAAATGTTTCACTTGCCAAATGGCTGCTGCTTTGGTTATTTGATCTTAAAGGATTTAATATAGACATATTGTTATGGGCACGCAGGCTCAGCAGGTAACAGCTTATAAATCTTGGCGAGGCTCGGAGCCACCCCATTTGTTTGTCTGGGGATTTTGATGTCCGGAGAATTGGGTTGAAAATTTGGATAACAACGTGCGAGTTAACCATCCAATTAGTAGTTGTGCTCAATTGAACACTTCCATCAGCACTTGAAAGTTTAACTTATTAGATGCCAAAGTGGCATTCATCTCTTGATGCTTTGGAAAGCTATAGTTCCTGTCCTGTCCTCCTTGCTCCTTAGAGATATTTCATTCATAATTCATTGACAATGACCCCCAGCTGGACCCCAACAGCTGTCCTCACCCTCAGCTTCCATCATCATCGTCCCGCCTCAATTCCCCCACTTATTAGTCAAATGCGAGGCAGAAACTGCCTTGTAATAAAATAATTTTATGATTATGATCACCATCAGCGGGGCCAAACAAAACCAGAAGCAGAAAAAAGTGTCGTAAACCCAATTCCGAGTGAACCCCGTTATCATGCCACTTGAATCGCCGTGAAGTTCTAGTTTCCGTCTGAAGTTTCCGAGTGGAGTTGAAGAACTCCAGCGGAGATATCTGCGACCGGAATCGGAATCGGAGCAAGTACAAAAGACCTCGGATGTGGCAATCGGACATGTTAATCTGGTTTCTGGACTTCACTTCACTTCACTTCAGTTCAGTTACTTCCCTTCGTCCGGCCACTCTGCAATGCATTTCAATTTTCTGGACTCGGTCCCAGACCCTCCAAGTTTATGGCGGCTGGCACGCGTGCGATTTGATGGCTTGATGGTCAAAGACCGTTTAGGAGTGGCAGCTGTGGGGCATTGTTCTGGCTCCCAGTTAAAGCCACAAAACTGGGCAGCACGTGCCACCGCTCATTTCCCCACTATCCCCACATTTCTGCGGTTCAATGGGCTTTCATTCCTGTGAGTGAGAGCTAGTGCGTCCACAAACAGGTGCGAAAGTCAATTACGGTCGGTTGGGCAGAGCGTCATCGAAATCGTTTTGAGAAACCCTTTTCAAAACCGGCGGATTTAGCCACCGCAGGACGCCCTCGACACGTCGCCAGACCCATCATTACCCCTTGACGGGCGATCAAGATCCCTGGGCCAGACTGATCCCCGATCACTTCTACCTGCCAACTGCACTGTCTGATTGATTTGTGTCAGCGCCTCGTTCCGAATTGAGACAAATCCCCGGCACTCCTTGTCCACCATTGAGGAACTTCATTTTTCATTGAGCAACTTTGCGATCGAGATACGGCTGTGATGCAATCCGAAGGGATCATCATTATGGACCATTGAGTGAGCATGACTTGACAATATGCCAAAGAGGGGTCATCATCGAAATCAGATTACGAGGATAATTGTTTGTTTGGTAAATATGTCTAAGAGTTGTCTCTAATGCGGGGGGAGGGTAGCGCAGTTGGGTTCCAGGTGAAGGAAAAGCCGAGAGGTGTGGAGTGGCCACCACGAAGGATGCGACTCCTCACAGGAGTTGCGAAAGTAGGTGAAGAGCCATCATCATTGAAAAGTACACACGGTTTTTATTCATTGTGTTGCTCTTTCATTTAAAATTTCAATCATCAGCAAGTCATGAGCGCGAAAGTCCACAAAAAATGTCAGCGTTAATTAAAAATGATCCTGTGACATGAGTAAACCTTTTCTGGGCCCAGTCTTGACCACCAAATGATTGCGGCTCTAATT